ATGGTGAGTAGCAGCGGGTCTTGAGTACCCAAGAAAAATAACAACAAGAACAACAACAACGCGCAAAGAGCAACCGCATCCAACGCAGTGGCAGGCTCTGACGAGGTCCGTCCTCAACTTCACATTCAATTAATTTGTTATTTAAATTTTAATTTAATTGCAAATTAAGTCTCAGCGTGACTGCAATCACAAAATTCATAACCCTCTTGTATACTTATTATTAAGTTTTTCTCTGCAGCTTTTTATGGGTTTTATGGCGTTTTGCGAACTGAGAGTCAGAGACGAGACGAGACACTGATTCGGCCTCAGCCTTTGCCTCTCTGCCTCTGTCTCAATAGAAGCACATACTATATAAAAATGAAAGAATAACTTAAAATTTAAATTACCCGGCGAGCAATGCCGTGGGTGTGTTTATATTTTTGAAACCGCGATCTATTTAAATTCGTTGCGAGCAAATGCCTAAATATATATAAACGTATGCACATAGCGCATATACATATACACATTATGAATGCGCTTGCAAAGGTAAGACCTTGGGTAATATGTACATATGCAAAAGCTAAACCTAAACAAAATTCAAATCAAACTATGTGTACGACTAATTAAATACTTGGATGTCCACTAGCTAGAGGATGCGCCGGAATCTATATCTACACACGTGCTTTATATATCAAATATATCCCATTCACGAGCCGTACTTTTAACTCTTATTCATATTATATAGCATATTAGACATACCTGGCCACGAAACGTTTGGTTTTAAACTGAATTTTGTCTTTCACAGGTTTAAAAACAAATACCATCCCGAAGACAGTGTGCGACGCAGCGAGGAGCAACGCGGCTTTTTGAAGGTAACTTGTAGAGTGACTTTATTGTACGTTTATATATATAAATATCTTGATATATATTGCATGCTTTAACAGAGACGCACCGATGTGTTTCTGGAACTGCTCGAGAACGGCACTATTGGCAGCGTTAAGGTGGATTCCTCGCAGGCGGATTCTTTGGTGCGAGTCCTGGACACTTGTGTGATTAAACTGGAAGGCGGCACCGATGAAGATCTTAAGATACTCGATGAGAAGCCCAAAGAGACGCCAGTTGTATATGAGCGCAAATCTGAATCGACAGAAGCCTCAGTTGTCGCCAAGCGAGAGCCTGAAAGTCCCAAGCAGACAAAATCAGAGAAAGGCGCTGATGAGGAACAGCCAGTGGTTGTGTCGCCGCAGCGTAAGAGCCTGCGGCCTGTAAACTCCGATGAGGAGAACTGGGATGATGAGAACGATGAGATGGCTGCGGTGCCAGATGCCGCTAAAAACGAGCAGCAAACAGAAATAGTGGCTGCGAAGCCGGCCAAAGTGCAAGGCGATGATGACTCGATCAAAAGCGGCAGCGATAAAAAGCTAAAGAAGAAAAAAATCAAGAAACGAAATCGCAACAGCAGCGACGATGAGAGCTCATCCTCATCCAGTTTCGAGTCGGACTCGGACTCTGACGATGAGAAGCTGAAAGCGAAATATGATGTGGAGGAGGGTTTGCGCGCCGATCAAAAAGCGGAGGCACAAAAAGACAAAGAGGAGGCAGCAACGGTGGCCAAAGCTAATCCGCTGCCACCCGACAGTCCCCAGCCAGAGGGCGGCACTGCCCTCCAGGATGCGGCAGCTATCAAAAGTGAACAGAGCGATGAGCAGCAGGAAAAAGATGCGGAGCAGCCAGCTGAGCTGCAAGCGGACGAGCCAGCAGCAGCTAAAAATGGGGAGGAGCCGGAGAAAACAGAAAAAAACGAGGTGGAGACGAAATCAACGGCGGATGATGTGACCGAGACAATCGATTTGGACAAGGTAAAGGACGGACCACAGCCACGAGCATTGCATCGCACCTCGTCAATATTCCTACGCAATTTGGCGCCGTCAATAACGAAGGCAGAAATCGAAGCGATCTGCACCCGCTTTAGTGGGTATCTACGCGTGGCCATTGCCGATCCGCTGGTGGAGCGACGCTGGTATCGCCGCGGCTGGATAACCTTTACACGCGACGTTAACATCAAGGAGATCTGTTGGAGTCTAAACAATCAGCGTTTGCGTGACTGCGAAATGGGCGCCATTGTCAATCGGGATTTGAGTCGACGTGTGCGTCCCGCCAATGGCATCACAGCGCACAAGCAGATTGTACGCGCTGACATCAAGCTGTGCGCAAAGATTGCCATGAATCTGGATGAACGTTTTAAGCTGTGGAGCGAGGCAGATTCCACGCAGCAGCAGCCGGATGCGGAAAGCAAACCCAGCGCGGACGCAACCAATGGCAGCGGCGGCAGTTCGACCACATATGGCTTCAATTCCAAAAATCCTGTGCTTCAAAACATAACCGATTACCTCATCGAAGAAGCCTCTGCTGAGGAGGAGGAACTGTTGGGCTTGGCCGGCGATAACAAAGATGGCGAGGGTGAGCCCATTGAACGGGATGAGCAGCTTATTTCGGTTCTGGATCGTCTGGTGCTCTATTTGCGCATTGTGCACTCGGTGGACTACTATAATCATTGCGAATATCCGTACGAGGATGAGATGCCAAATCGCTGCGGTATCATACACGCACGTGGACCACCGCCTATGCGCGTCACCAGCAACGATGTCCAGGAATACATCAAGGCCTACGACGGTAAGCTGCAGCAGTTTTTAACCAAGAGCGTGCAGCTGAGCGATGATGAGATCAAAGAGCTGGGTGCTAAGAATCCCGAAACCGAGGTGGAGAAATTCGTGCAAGCCAATACACAGGAACTGGCCAAGGATAAATGGCTGTGCCCTCTGTCGGGCAAAAAGTTCAAGGGTCCCGAGTTCATACGCAAGCACATCTTTAACAAGCACGAGGAGAAGGTGGACGAGGTGCGCAAGGAGGTGCAATATTTCAACAATTACTTGCGTGACCCCAAGCGGCCACAGCTGCCAGAGCATCCGGGCAGCTCCAAGCGTACTGAATCAGAGTCTGGTCGTGGTTCTGGCGGGTGAGTACGCAAAACGTTATAAAATTGTTTATGCACTATAAAATGCTTATTGCTTCTGCAGCTATCGGCCACCCATGTATCCGCCATTCTCAGCTATGCCCTACGGATTTGCACCGCCCATGATGGGCGGCGGTGGACGCGGCGGACGCAATTTTCCTCCAGTGCGCAGGTCAGTTGCTTTATTTATTTGCATAGCCTTAAGTCCGTTAGGGAATTTAGCCTTAAGCAGTTTGGATCAGATGGGAGCTGAACTCAAAAGGCTTGAAAGCAGCTGCCTAGCTACGGACTCTAGGGGAGAATTGGATGTATATTAACCTTTGTCTATGTCTGTCTCACAAACCGGTTCATAAATCGGTTCATGGTTCTTGCTTTTTGCATCCTTCACGTTCCTCGATATACCTTCGTGCCTTTAACAAAACCAACAGTTGTATATTTAGGCTATGTATATATCTATATATTTTTTTTTATTTTATGAAATGTTTGTTTTTAATTTATGTTTTTGGCAAACTGCAAACCTATTAAAATGTATTCATATTGCTGACTTTTTAGCAATTATGTCCCAGTGACAGTGGTCATAACGTTGTCTGAGCTTTAAATATAATTATTCATAGACCGTCTGCTCAATGCTTTAATTTTATAATTATTATAAAGAAAGAAAATCGCAATCGCATGGAATGCTAATAGTATGGTTTATTAGAAGTAGGTTGAACCATTTTCAGAGACTTGCTTCTCTTGCTGTGCAAGCAGACAAGGTTTTTCTTTATTAATTTTTCTGACACACCCACAGCATTAGTTCGATAAAAAAAAACCCTAGTGTATTTGTCCTAAATTTTCTATATGCCTTCTATAATTTTGCTTTCATTTTTGTTGTTGGTCTTAAAACGAAATTTGTCACAACTTTCTTGTGTCGCAAATTTTTTGCAGAGAAATGCCCTTGGAACACCAACGCCGGCTTATCGGTTACCATGATTTGGATGCGCCCGTTAATTCCGATATGTTTGACTAATTAATTGATTAGCACAAAAAGCAGAAACCACACACAGATAATAAACGCTAAATACAATTTTCAAGCTCAGTTCTAAAAGCAATTTAAGCAATGCCTAGCTAATGGGGACCTACAAAAAACTAAACGCAAATTATTACATAATTTATGTCTAAAGATATTTATTTTGATCTTTGTACAATATGCCGATTGTAAAAAAAAAATGAATACCCCAAAGGACCTAATTAAAGATTTTAATTTTTCAATTAATAAAATATCGATTCTGATGCTTTCAATAATGCAACCGCAAACTTGCGTCGAATTACAATAAATGTTTGGTTTTACTATATAAGATTTGTGTACAAATAATTCCTCACTCTAAACAACATTCATTCTCGTTGCTTGCAGACCCGGTGGTTTTGATTATCGCGCCAGATCACACTACCGGGACTTGGACGCGCCCCAAGAGCCGTACTAAGATAATGCCCCACACAATAGACTATAAATTATATTAGTTTATAATAAACAAAGCTCACGCACTGAACAAATAATAATCAAACAGAGATTTCTAAAGACATTTCGTAATCATCTTGAAACTTGAATTATTTAACCACAAAAAGAAAACTGCAAAGACGGAAATCCGACTATAATGTCAGATGTTTTGCAGGGTTCTAATCTACGCTAATTGTTTTGTATTGCTTGGAGAAAAGAGAAAAACTAAATAAAAGTTGTTTGTCATCATGGAATTTTTAATTTTAATAAAAGATAATTGTTTAAATTGATGTTCTACATGATAATATTGATATGATATTATTTGCTATACATCTATATATTACTCTATGGTACCACTATAGAATAGGTGGATGCTCTTGATGTATTTTCGGAAGGCCTATTCATTTATTCAGTAACAAAAATATATGTATGAGTATATCATATAAAACAAATATCCAATTCCTTAGCAGTAAGCCAAAAACTACTTGTGTACTTAAGCTTATGTTATATTTGGTTATATATACTAAATTTTTATAGGAACAGACGCAGCAGCCATCCCACAATGGCAATGGCAATGCATAATATACTGAACTGCAAGAGTCGATGAAGAATAAGAAACCTGAAATTAAAAATAAGTTCCGATCTCATAACTGATATATTTATCGACATCATTTTAAGCCGAAGCTCTCCACGTACCGGTTCATTTTCTTACGAGCGATCTGTATGGACTCTTCGGTTGGATCCTCTTTGCACAGATAAGTGCGCATGCCGAACAAGGCGCGATCGAAGTAACTGTTCCAATCCAGGGATTTCATATCGAACTCAAAGAGCTGCTGATCCACTGCAGACATGCATTCCCATAATCGATCCGTGTTGGGTGACCCGAAGCTCCAATTGTTGATCATAAAGTGTTGGACTGCATCGATATTTCTGTGGATCTTCTCGTAAATGCCCACCATGCGTGGCTTTTGACCGCGCAGGCGCAGATATATATCAACCATGTAGGCGGGCAGCAAATGATAAAAAATGGTTGCCAATTTAAAGAGCCAGGGCTTGGTGGTGGCGTGCAGGAACGGATACCATATCACCTTCGTCATGGGAAATACGTGACGTTTTCTTTTCACGGCTCCTATGAATTCCCTATTATTAATTACGTTTTCACCGCAGGGTGCATAGTTGTAAATGACAGGAGGGCTTCCAATGACCTGTTCTTTGCGCTGAGCCGCCTCCATGGCCGTGCGCCAGGCACAGGACAGCACCAGATTGGCACAACCGTCCACGGGCACAATGTTGGATTCAGCATTCAGATTGAGGGGGGCGACACGTAAAATACCATATGAGACGCCATAGAGTATAGCAATGGGTCCGTAGATGTTGTCTATCCAACCGGAAATAGGCTCCTTATTGGTAGCCACAACTGAGCAATTGGGAAAAAGAGGCGTTTACTATAAGCTTTAGAGGATTAACTAGTGCACCCTACTGGAAGCTGGACGAAAGATGCACACCGGCAAATCCCCCGCCTCTGTCTGGATCAACTGCTCGGCCAGAGCCTTTGTGTAGGTGTATGTATTGGGAAACCTGTCGAGCAGCACGGGCGCCATTTTATCGAAAATATTCGTGTCCCTGTCCAGCATTTCTCTTAGCGCCAATACCTTCTTAGCGCTGCAGCTCAAGTACTCCGGATAATAGCGTTCCGTAATGAAGTGGCTTATACAGTTGGAAAAGGCCGTGGATACGTGCACGAATGCCACCAAACGGTGCATCTGCTTGGCCAGCTGCAGCATCTGGTGTGTGGCACGCGTATTGATGTCCAATGCCACATGCAGTGGCTCCGCAAAGTTGACAGTTGCCGCTCCGTGCACCACCAGCTCCACCTGCTGCGTAAGCAGATCGCGATCCGTCGGGCTGATGCCCAGATCAGGCTCCTTGCAGTCCCCCTCTATGGCCACCACCCGCTCCAATATGTTCGCCTTGGCTTTGAGTAGCACTTCAAAAAGCTATGGAGTAGGGGGTTATGTTACTCAGCTCCGCTCGGCTGTGACTACTCACGGGATTGGTTTTCCATCCGGCAATGCGCTCCTGTGTGTCCTTGCCCCGTTTGGGTCTTATCAACACATAAATACGCTTTACCTCTGTTGCACGCAGCAGTTTCTCAATGATAACTGAAAGATAATGTTCCTGAACGTTAGACCCTGACCAAAAATTTCGAACGAGAACCGAACAATAGAAGTATTCAAATAATGCAACACTTTGGCAAGCCCGTTTTATTTAAATTCTGATGTGAAATGCCTGCAGTTCTGCTAAACATATTTTATAATACCTCTTCCCAAAAATCCACTGCCACCGGTTACAAAAATCGTTTTGTCTTCATAAAACTTCTTAATTTCGGATTCCATTTTTGAAATTTATTCAGTGCACTTTTGTCGAAACTTTAAACAAAACTGCAGAATTTTCAAGGAAACCGATATCGGATTTAAGAATCGACGTTGAAATGACTAGCTTTAAATATTTGCAGTACCTTTTATAGGTGCCAAATTCGCTAAATTCGTTCCTAGACTTTAGAGCCTGAGTTCATGAATATTAATAAAGCAGCTCAAGTCATGTATAAATAAGGGTTAGTTTAACTTCATGTTTGCTCGAGCTGATATAAACGCGGCTCTGACTAGACTCATGAATTTAAGCACTGGAAAATGTGCCTGGTTTAGAAATTACAATATTATTGACCTCAGTCAGAAAATTTGATAAGCTTCAAATTCGGATGTGACATTGAAATTCCAACCAGCTCAATATGGGTAAGAAGGGTATTATAGTTTTGCGCCCATGTATGTAACAGGCAGAAGGAAGCCTCATCGACCCCACACAGTATATATATTCTTGATCAGCACCAATAGCCGAATCAAACTAGCCATGTCGTCCGTTCGTCCATCCGTATTAATGATCGCGGCAATCTCAGAAACTTTAATAACGAGATCTGAAATTTTGATCGAGGTTTTCTCAGTGCTCGTTGATGCGAGCTTATTTCCCCGTATTATGCTATATAGACCAAGTTTTTTATTTTATCATTTATCATAAATCAAATAAGCTATAATTTGAATATATTTTTTGATTAAATAGAAATATTCTATAGCATAGTAAGATATATTGATGAAAATTTGATCAAGATCAGTTAAGAAACATCTAAGTTATGGAAGAAAACGTGAGCTTATATTGACAAGCCCTGGTATTTCTTTATACACATATATAATTAAATTATGATTAAATAATGCCAATGCCTACGCCGGAAAGGCTGAACTGCAAGAGTCGATGAAGCATAAGAAAACTGAAAGTATATATAAGTTAAGGTCTCATAAATGATGCATACATCATCCTAATTTTAAGCCGAAGCTATCGTATAGTTTCATTTTCTTACGAGCGAGCTATATAGACTCTTCACTTGGATCCACATCGATATTCCTATAAATCTTCTCTTAAATGTAGATGTATGGGGGCACCTAATGATAAAAAATGGTTGCCAATTTAAAGAGCCAGGGTTTGGCGGTGGAGCACAAGAGGGGGCCATGAGACAATCGTGTCAATTTCTGTTGAACTCGGCCTTGAATTCCTCATAATTTTTGACGTTCTCATCGCTGGGTACATATTTGTGTATGATCTGCTCCTTGCGCTGTCCATGGCCGTACGCCAGGCACAGGACAGCACCAGATTGGCACAACCGTCCACGGGCACAATGTTTGACCTAGCCTCCAAATTAACAGGTGGGACACGTAAATCACCATCATATAAAGTTCCATGGAGCAACGGGTCCGTAGATGTTGTCTACCCAGCCGGAAAAAGGCTCGGTAAGAAAATCCCCGCATCTCAACTGCTACGTAGAAAGCGTCGGACTTTCAAATAATTGGCAATTTCAAAATTTCTTTATTAAATTTATTAAACATTTAAAAAGCAATAAGAATCAATTTAATATAATATTACAGGCCTAGCAGCCGTTTTACAAGGCTGAACTGCAGGAGTCGATGAAGTATAGAGAAACTGAAAGTCAAAATAAGTTAAGATCTTAAAAATCTTCTCAATTTAAAACCAAAGTTCTCCACATACCATTTAATTTTCGGACGACCGCGCCTAAGGGACTCTTCACTTTTGCACAGATAGGTGCGCATGCCGAGAAATAAGCGGTCCAAATAGCTATCCCAGTCCAGGGATTGCATATCAAACTCAAAGAGCTGCCGATCCGCTTCAGACATGTATTCCCACAGCCGATCCGTGTTGAATGTCTCAAAGCTCCAGTTGTTGATCATAAAGTGTTGCATCACATCGATATACCTGTGGATCTTCTGGTACATGGCCACCATGCGTGGCTTCTGGCCGCGCAGGCGCAGATATAGATCAACCATGTAGGCGGGCAGCAGATGATAAAAGATTGCTGCCAATTTGAATAGCCGGGGTTTGGTGGTGGCGTGCAGGAAGGGGTACCATTTCGCCAGAGTTACGGGATAAAAGTGACGTTTTCTTTTCACGGCATCGTCGATAAACACATTAATAATTACATTTTCCCCGCTAGGCGCAAAGTTGTAAATGAGAGGAGGGCTTCCAATGACCTGTTCTTTGCGCTGAGCCGCCTCCATGGCCGTGCGCCAGGCACAGGATAGCACCAGATTGGCACAATTGTCCACGGGCACAATGTTGGATTCAGCATTCAGATTGAGGGGTAAGACACGTAAAACACCATATAACAATCCATGGATTATAGCAATGGGTCCATAGATGTTGTCTATCCAGTCGGAAATAGGCTCCTTATTGGTCGCCGCAACTGAATAATTGGGTAAAGCAGCATTTACAATGGGATCGAGTAGATTAACTAGTGCAACCTACTGGAAGCTGGACGAAAGATGCACACCGGCAAATCCCCCGCCTCTGTCTGGATTAACTGCTCGGCCAGAGCCTTTGTGTAGGTGTATGTATTGGGAAACCTGTCGAGCAGCACGGGAGCCATCTTATCGAATAGATTCGTGTCCCTGTCCAGCATTTCTCTTAGCGCCAATACCTTTTTAGCGCTGCAGCTCAAGTACTCCGGATAATAGCGTTCCGTAATGAAGTGGCTTATACAGTTGGAAAAGGCCGTGGATACGTGCACGAATGCCACCAAACGGTGCATCTGCTTGGCCAGCTGCAGCATCTGGTGTGTGGCACGCGCATTGATGTCCAATGCCACATGCAGTGGCTCCGCAAAGTTGACAGTTGCCGCTCCGTGCACCACCAGCTCCACCTGCTGCGTAAGCAGATCGCGATCCGTCGGGCTGATGCCCAGATCAGGCTCCTTGCAGTCCCCCTCTATGGCCACCACGCGCTCCAATATGTTCGGCTTGGCTTTGAGTAGCACTTCAAAAAGCTATGGAGTAGGGGGTTATGTTACTCAGCTACGCTCGGCTGTGACTACTCACGGGATTGGTTTTCCATCCGGCAATGCGCTCCTGTGTGTCCTTGCCCCGTTTGGGTCTTATCAACACATAAATACGCTTTACCTCTGTTGCACGCAGCAGCTTCTCAATGATAACTGAAGGAGAATAATGTTTTCTAAAGTTTTGTGTGTATCCCAATGTGTGCATCAGCTCTCTAGGAAGAAAAAAAAGAAATCATACCTCTTCCCAAAAATCCACTGGCACCGGTTAAAAAAATCGTTTTGTCTTCATAAAACTTCGTAATTTCGGATTCCATTTTAAATGCAGTTTAGCCGAATTTTAAAATACAAGTGCGGACTTTCAATGAAACCAATATCAGATTTGAGAGTCAACGATAAAATGACAAGTTTTCAATATTTGCAGAAAATTTTATAGTGGCCTAGGCCTTAGAGCCTGAGCTAATGAATATTAATGTTGTAGCTGAAATAAGTATTTAAAATGTCTAGTTCAATTGAACTCAATTAGCAAGTTTGATAGGCTGCAACAAAATGCAAGTATGTTTTGCTTGATTTGAGATATATTAATTAGTATGTGGACGTGCTTTTATATATTAAGATAGGCTTTATGTTTATCTTTGGATAACAAGGCTCGGAGATGTTGTTTATAATATCTAGAGCAGGATCGATAGCCGAGCCTATAAGATTGTTTTAGTTTCAAAGTGGTTTAAAGAGTGGCCAGTGTATACGCATTGCAGTCTGCCCGAACGGATTATGAGAATTATTTTTAATGATTTCTAAAGGTTTCTTATGCAAATGCCGGCTCGATTGATTTAATTTTGTATACAAATTGAGAAATAAACGATGATCCGGGCAAAGACGGGTAGTAAATATATGCACATATATTGCTCACACTTCTATATAGAAGCGCATTTCAAAACAGAGAGTTTTTCACATAGTTTGGGAACGAGCTGAAGAGCGCACTTGGTAGACGCCGCGTGAGCAGAGGAAGGTGTTTGGAGAAACAAGCTAAAAATAAATTGTGAGGGCGCCGCGTGAATGAATATAACTTGCAACTCGCAACAAAATGAGATTTTCTCTGGCCACGTAACAGCAGTGCGATTGGAAAAGCCGTGAAGTGATCATTGGAATGGCAGCTCTGAGTCCCAAATGTGCCGTCTGCGATGTGGCCGCGTCGCTCACCTGCACCCGCTGCAAGATGGTGCGCTACTGCAACGGGGAGCACCAGAAGCAGCATTGGCCACAGCACAAGAGCTGCTGCCGGCCCTTTCGGGTGCAGCAGGACGAGCAGCTGGGACGCTACTTGGTGGCCACTCAGGACATAAAGGCCAAGCAGATTATATTTGTGGAGGAGCCCCTTGTCGTGGGCCCCAAGTGGTTTCTCACCGAACACGAGAAATCGGCCAGCATTGTGCCCTGTGTGGGCTGCTATACGCCCTGTCGCCTGGGCAAGCATCAGTGCCGCAAGTGAGTATCTAACACTGTGCAACATAATTCTGAATTTGAGGTGACCCGTAAAAATAGATATAAATAATAGAATCTATAAGCAAAATACTTTAAAGAGCTGTTCGACTACTATTATGTAGTATAGTGTTATTCTGTAAATGCGGAAAAGTGTTGGAAAATAATACCTACCATCAGGGAAAACACCTTGATGGCAGATCTTAACAAACTTGAAAAACTCTAACCACCATTTTGTAGCATAGTATAATCTCTATTTTTCGAACAGCTGTCGCTGGCCCGTCTGCAGTGCCAGCTGCCTGCACGAGAAATTAGAGTGCAGTGTGCTCAGCCTGGGCACTGCGCCCACTGCCAAGTCGGATGCACGTGCTCTGCATGACTATTACCGTCATGATGCGCTGCTGGTGCTGAAGTGCCTGCTGCTGCAGCGGCAACAGCCGGAGCGCTGGCAGGCCCTGCTGGAGATGCAGTCACACGCGGAGGAACGCTTGGGCACAGAGCTGCAGCAGGAGGCGGAACAGCGCATTGTTAGCTATCTGGAGCAGCGCTTTCTGCAGCGCCTCAAGCAGAGCAAAAACCGTGAGTGCTGCCAGCTCAGCGACTATGAGCCGGAGTTGCTGCATCGCCTGTGCGGCATAATAGAGACCAACTACATGGTCATCGAGCTGGCGACGGGTGTGGAGCTGAGCGGACTCTTTCGGCAGGCCTGCATGATGGAGCACGCCTGCCAGCCCAACTGCTACTTTCAGTTCGATTCCGCCACGCAGCGCATTGCGGTACGCGCCGGCTGCGATATGAAGAGGGGCGACCACCTGAAGATCACCTACACAAACATATTGTGGGGCACGCAGATGCGGCAACACCATCTGCGCATGACCAAGCACTTCAGCTGCCGCTGCGCGCGCTGCGAGGATCCCACCGAGTACGGCAGCTATGTGAGCGCTATGCGCTGCCTGGGCGATGTGTCCAAGTCGTGCGTGGGCGTGCAGCTGCCGCTGGATCCACTCAACGAGCAGACCCAATGGAAGTGCGACACTTGCCCCGTCTTGCTGGATGCTGCTTATGTGACGGAAGTGCAAACCCACATGACCGAAGAGGTGGACCAGCTATTGGCCGGCCGACCCACGGCCAGTCAAGTGGAATTGCTGTTGGCTCGGCTGTCCCAGTTGCTGCATCCCAATCACTTTCACATGTTCAATTTGAAGCACACACTTATTCAGCTTTACGGCCATGAGCCGGGCCTGGAGCTGACCGAGCTAAGCGATCTTCAGCTGGGTCGCAAGCAGCGACTATGTGAGGAGCTGTATAATGTTTGCCAACGTCTTGATCCGCACAGCATCAAGCTGGCCATCTATGTGAGTGTCATTCTGATTGAGATGGCACACACGCTAGAGGAGCAGGCGCGTAGACAGCCTACAAAGGCAAAATCTCAACTGGAGCTGGCTAGATCCCATGTACTGGAGGCGGTGGATGTGCTAGAAAAGGTACAGGACTCTGTGGCTGGCAAGAAGTTGCATGAAAAGCTGCAGCGTGATCTATTCGAGCATGACAAATTGACGCTGGCACACTGCCATAGCCAGACTGCAGTTTAAACTTATGAATATAATTGATAACTGTTAAACTATAAAATATTTCCTTATAAGAAATATTATTTTACAATTAATTTACTCTTAATAGCCTATTGTGGCGCAGCGTGCAGATCCACGCGCTGTTGCTCCAACAACTGCGGATGAGCTTCAAGCACATCTCGCTGTTGCCTCATATTTCTCACGATGCCCGGCAGATGCCAGCCATGCCTCAGCAGACTGTCCGTCACATCGAAGTGGGCATGGCGTATGCAACGCAGCTGCGAACAGTGCGCAACCGTGCGCAGCTCTATGGCCATGTCATGCACCAGGGCCGCCATATACTGTTCGCTCTCGTTGATGGTGTGCAGCTCGAGCGTAAAGTGAGGCCGTTCAAAATGTATTAGCTTGATGCCATAGACGACCGGTTGGCTGTTGTCTGCAGGCCGAAGAAGGCCCTTGCAGGCCAGCTCGTATGCCGCCTGCGTTTGTAGATCGACGCCGCATAGTTCGTACATTTTGCGCTGGTGTGAGGCTTGCATGGAAGAGGCCAAGCCGCTGATGCGCTCTGCGGTGACATGACGATTGTTGGCGCGCACCGTGACGTGCGAATCGGGCAAGTGATTCTCTGTGGCGGTACCCATGCGAGCGGTCACATGGTAGACGCGCACCGGCCGATTGCGCTGTATGAGGCTCGATTGTTTCAGTCCATTGTTCAGGCCGAGCACTGTCAACAAAAAATGTCTTAAGTTTTCAATTAAAGGTACGAGACTGGTTACTTACACAAGACGCCGCTTGTGTGCCTACCAAGTGAGGCGACGGCGGCACAGCGAATGTCATCGGGCATGTATCTTGGGCCAGCAGCTAGTATGTGATCCGAAAGATCTGTATCTTTGGCTATCTTATGCAGGACAGTGTCCGCGGCAGTGCCAGTGCCCAGAAGCAGTCTGCTCTTCGGTAATCTACGTGGTTCTCTCTGCTCGAGTTCATTAAGTCCTGTGAAATAAGAATTTCCTTTAAATTAACAGATAGCGCTTATTTCTATTACACACACCTTTGCAAATGTTGCTTAGAATGGCGTTGCGCACGTGCTTGACCTTAATACCAGCCGGCTTATATACATTTATGATGCCATTTAAGTGCTTAAACACAGTGGCCGCATCGTAGACCTTTGTAAGTGCCATTACTAGCTGGAATTATATAAAAACGAAAATCAGCGTGTTTTTGTTTTGAAATTAAAAGCCTCCAGCTGTTTTGGCGATATATATCGTACATCGCTAGTGTGTGTTATATGATTAGTAATCAGTGTTGGAAACTACTGCAGCTTATCGTTTTGCAGCACAGAAAAAAAAGCAGGGCTGACTCGCTCACACACATTAGGCGCTGCACGTGTTGCATTTGTTTTGCCTGCTCGCTAATAGTTGCGAGTTGTTTTATCGTTATAGAACCAAATTTTAAAGGCGATTTAACAATATGAAGTGGACTACAGCGAACCTGAAACATCCCAATTATACAGCCAAACATGAATTGTTTGTGGGCACACACACGGGCTCCTTTAAACGTAAGTCAAACTCCATGCTCTGCTGCCGGCGCTCATTTAGACACTTTTTGCAGATCTGCTGCCCGCTGCTGAGCAGAATCCACATACTCAGTCAAATCTCAGCGATATAAGCGCCCTAGATAAGGAATCGCGTGTAACAACGCTGGCCTTTGGAAATGAAGCGCAAACCGAAATTCTGCTCGGTCGAGCTAAAAACGTTGCCGAACTCCATTCGCTTGGAATTGGCGGTGGCATCAACACGCGGCGAGTTAATTTTACAGGCGCTCCAATTGTGGGTTTGGCGCGCTATAACAACAATTTGATTGCTGGCATTGGCAATGGACAAATACAGAGCTTGTCGCTTGATGCAATGGACGAGGAGGAGGAGAAGCAGGAGAAAGAGCCAGTCATTATCAACACAGGTGATCATATGGATCATTTACGTCAGTGCTCCACGGCTACGCACATTGTAGCCACCGGCGGCAAGGCACGACAGAATAATCTTAAAGTTTACGATTTGAGCGCCGATGGCAAGCAAATATTTAGCTCCAAGAATTTGCCCAACGATTATTTGCAACTCGAGGTGCCCGTTTGGGATAGCGATATTGGCTTCGTGGATGGCCCAAACGTATTAGCCACCTGTTCGCGCCATGGCTATGTGAGGCTCTACGACACGCGAAAGCAACGGCGTCCAGTTTCACACTTTGCCAGTGAGGAGCACGGCATGAGCTTCGCGACGCTGGCGGCGCGCGGTAATTACATATATACAGGCACTACCATGGGCGTTTTGAAGGTAAGTTTCAGGAATGTTATTGGAGTAACTCTTATTCACTAATTTGTTGTTCAGGCATTTGACACGCGCCGCATGAAAACTCATGTGCACACCTACAAAGGATTTACGGGGGGCATTAGCGACCTGCATCTGGATGAGACGGGCAAATACTTGAGCTCAGCTTCCCTCGATCGCTATGTGCGTGTTCATGAGGCCGACTCGACAGTGCTGCTGTATCAGTGCTATGTGAAGTCGAAGGCAACCAAAGTGCTTATTAGGCAGCTGCCGGAGGAACTGCGGAAAGAGTCCAGCGATGATGAGAATAAAGGGGAACAGGAAGTGAAAACGCGTAGCCAAAAGAAGCGAGCACTGAAAACAACGCCGCTGGACACCGAATATGAGGATATGTTTGATCAGATGCCCACCGTGGGGTAGGTTTTGAGACAAAATATAAACATTGCGTGGCATGTTAATATATTCTCAATATCTCACAGTGACAGCGATGATGAGGCGGTCGAGAAGCAAACGCCGGTGGCCACAAAGCGGAAAGCGCCCAAACAAACGCAGAAAACAAAAAAGAAAAAACAATAAATCCCACATATAGTTAAGTTTTATATTAAATGATATATGCTATGTTAAAATGCGACTATTTCCAAGCCTGTTTTAGATGCAGCTCCCTTTGCTGCTGATAGTTTATGTACAAGCGATAAGTGCAGTAGTAAAAGAACTCCACAATGGATATCATGCTCAGACCCAGACACAGATTGAAAATGCCGCCCAAGTCAGCTGCCGTTATGTAAAAATAAATAGAGGATAGTAGCTGGAATAACCAAGCACTTACACAACAGTCCAATCCACGACATGACAGTCACCTTTCGTATTACTGGCACCACCTGCTTGGCCAAATACACGCGCAACACAAAGCTGTCATTGTTGAGCAGCTCGGTTGTGCTACGGAAATTATTGAGTGTTAAGTTTATGCCAATAATATATATATGGAATTAATACTTACTAAAAGTTACTCACGGAGAACTGATGCAGGTTGAGATCTGTTTTATAGGATAGCGTTGAGTACGTGACGTCATAGCAATTTGGCAAGCACTGATCACAGCGTAAGCTCTTAAAATTGTCTGGAAGTAAATTTGTTTTAAATAAAATAGTCAAAGCTAATTGCTGCTTGAATTTGTATCGCGTCTTGAAAGGTCAAATTCCTGAGATAAAATTATAAGAAAAACAATTCCAATGCTTGTAAACTTAAGAGTCCTTAGATATATAATAGGTATGGTAGTGTGAAATACTAAATCAAATCAATCAGCATATTTAAATACTCTTCAGTGCGGCTTAATTGTCACCCTAGTTTTACAAAGTGCTACCTAATTTCGTTACTCTTAGAGTTAGATCATAAGTCAGAAGCTCTTCGTTTTGCGCTTGCTGAAACATATTATTTATACCCCAAACAACTGTTGTAAGTTAAGTGTTATGCATACCGAAGCGCCTTAAAGGAGAAAGTTTGAGTTCAAGTCGAGTTGTCGAGAGCAAGTTCCAAGTGTTTGTGTGAAGGAACACACTTATACGAGCGGGCACGCATTTTGAATATTTAATATAAATTATAAATGATGTAACTGGAGCAAACAGAACAACGCGGCATATACACCACAATCCACCACAAAAGCGATTCGCAGGAGCGTGAAATATGTCAGACACAAGGCGAAGGACACGGCGCACCCTGACAATGCCATTGAAGGTAGCTAACTGAACAATTGCTCTAGCTCGAGTTAAGAAAGTGATTAAATAAGATGGTAAGTGTGACATACTTCCCAGTTATTCTTTTTGGTTATATATAAAGTCTTTTCAGCTTACCATAGTTATCCGAGTAGCAGAAGGTATCGTTTAGATTGCACACCTTGAACTTCTCGCTCACAATAGGCAGCAAGTAGGGATGACAGCCGCAGCGCTTGCCAATGGCCTCCGTCTGGCAGGCCAGCAGGCAGGATGCCTGACGATAGTTACGCTGCTGCACATCATCTGAGATGAGGCAATCGCGCTTGCTCTCCGACAGCTCGAGCACCTCCGTCGAGGAGGTCTGCACGGTGGGCGAGACCTCGACAAAGCTCTCGGATCTGGCAGTTATGGTGACCGATGCAGCTGTCTCGGTTACATAATCCATGGGATGATGAACAAGCACAATGAGACCGGTGCTTAGATTGCGCTCAGAGCCCTCAGCGCCAATGAAAGTGAGACCGCCATCCATGCCAAAGATATTGGCGGAGAAGGGCAGAAAGCTGGCATTGCGCGGATTGTAGTTGAACGAGCAGCAGGGACCAAGGAATGCCGTTGTGGGTATAAAGGATAAATACTCGTGGCTCTGGTTACATGGAAACTCCGTGTAGCCCCAAAAGCAGCGCTTCACAAAATCCGCACAGCCCGGACTGACAGCCATGGCAGCCTCCCAAATGGACACATTGTTAAGGCGCAGCACATCATCTGTAACCTTGTAGCTTTCATGCGATGGCGGCACAAAACTCTGATCCGTGAAGGCATTGAGAAACTCAAATCCAGCTGCCACATCGGCTACATCATATTCCTTTGGTATCTGGCTGCAAAAGTTGAATACGACTTTGAACGAGCTGTCATGCGGGAATTTCCGTCCAGGATACTCACAGCGTTCGGACGTAGCGGTGGACGCGCTCTTTGTTGACCGTTTTGGGACTGCATATTGTGACGCCGGGAAAAGCCACATCCGTGATGGACAAATCATTCGAAATGGTGTTCAGTATGGGATACGAGTAGAACTTCAACCAAAGCAGCAAGGTCAGAAAGATGCTTAACAGCAGCAGCTGCACCAGCACCGACGACCAAATCAATCTGCAATGCCAATTCCAGCTGAGACCCAACCACAACTGTAGTGCACAATCAGCTTCACCCACCTGGATAAGCCTTGCGTGCGATTGCGTCTTAGCAGCCACATGCCGCTCACCTTGGTGCGCTCCGTATACTCCCAGAAGGTGTTGGAAATGGCCAGCCTGAACGGATGGCTTCTCCAGTATTGAATCAGCCTCTGCCTGCCACGTGGCGAGCCGCGCCCGATGGGCGGCCACTTGACAATGTTGGCCATTTTGTGTGCTCTGAAGCCGCCGACACCGCATGACGCTCACTTTTATAGGCCAGGACAGAAAATGAACAGGACATCGGCTGCCAACTTTAAGTGCTAATTATGGGCTAATTGTCTTCCTAATTTGTTCAGTCTGGGTAAGTTTGTCTTTTGTAGCACATTAGTTATAACGATATGGTCCCAAGCACCTCAAAAGAGTCGCGAGCGGCCAGGCAGGTGAAGCATGCAAACTTAATTGATTTACTCTGATTGCTAGGAACGGTGGTAAATACTTTAAGAAAGCTTTCTTAATGAACTCACTTAAGAAATACACTTTCAAGGGCAGATCCATGAATGGGGGGTTTCGACCAGCAATCAAGTGCAAATTAGTAATAAATTGAGAAAAGGTTTTTCATTTATTAAAATCTTATACTAAATCTAAATCAGCTGCTAAGATACAACGCAGCATTAAAAATAATATAATAAAGTTTAAATGCCTCTTGAAACCTGAGGCAAATGGGTTTGGCAGAGTGATTAACAAAATTTAAAATTGGAGAAAAGCAATACAGCTAGGAAAAGAAAGATTAAAGAGCGTTCTAATGGTGCCCAAGAAAATATTATAAGGATTTCGCGTCAATAAAATCACTAGAAATCCAACTTAGCTTTACTTAATTCTTGGACAATTGAGGGAAACTATGTAAAATAGTTACAAATGCGTTCAGAAATAATTACTAAATTAAAATAATGCCATCACATGTTTAATATTCTAGAAAATCATTCCAGAAAATATTGAGCTTATTTTTTCGTAGAAAAATTTTTTTTTTTAAAGAAAATGTTTCTAAAGGACGCTTTTTCATTT